CCCCAAAACCCCAAAACCCCAAAACCCCAAAACCCCAGGCTGATTGATTTAATCATTCTAATAAAGTTAAATTATTAAAATTGGAATTAACTATATCCTGAATTTAGATTAAACTTAAAGAAAGGCTAGGAATTGTTACCTGTCTAAACACATTTCAATCATTTAGCATAGATAGCAAGGCAGTACCTCTTAGAGTCCAATGCTCAGGAGATTCGTTCTCTGAGCAAGGCACATCAATGGCTAAGATGAAGTTAGTGGATTGACCAGTAGTTGATAGCACTCCAGCTCTTACAGAGGTCTTATAAACTGGGCACTTATAATCGTTCTCCTCGATATCAGAAACATTCTTCTTGGGTTGATCACTCTTGGCTAGTTCTTTCGGCAGGAAATGAATGATCGGCATAACAGAGTTCATCTCTCCAGGTAACTACTCCTCAAGACATTATCTATCAAATGACCATCTTGCGCCTTCTATAAACAATCCATAGACGTAAATACCATCATCTGGACCCTTTGTTATCTCCTCGGGTTGAGTTTGTTGCAAGACTTTAAACTTGAACTAGAGCAAGTCAATAGCTTTGAGATGCTTTCTGGCATAGGTTTGCAATGTTCCAGTCATAAAACCGTGAGGGAAGAAAAATCCAGAAAGCCAATAGCAATTAGGATGACCGTGCTTCATCCAGCTTCTCATGAATTCCACTCTCAAATTCAAATCTTTGATCCAAGAAGCCAAGGACTTCAAAGATGGATAAGCCATTTCAGACCAGTTAGGAGGCACTTAGTTTTTCATCAGGGCTGTATACATAAGATCAAGCTCGGGACTCATGATAACAAGACCTTTGATCGCTTTCATTAGCGATGATAGACTTGAAGCCATCTTATTCAATAGTCTGTTGTACCTTTCAACTTCTTAAAGCAAAACTGTACTTAAGCAATGGAGCAGACCCTTGTTATTTGGTTTAAAGATATCTTTGGCATGATCATCTCTATCTATGAGCTGAGGTAGATTAGCTTCTAATTCCTCTGCTTGCTCAAAAATGACATCGTCACTGCTTTTACCGCCGGAAGTAGTAACCACTCTTGGCTACACATTCAGAATTGTAGTCAGAATCTTTTCACTTTCTTATTATTAGAATGCAATATTGGCATTCTAGTGCATTCCGAACACCTCTGGTTCTTCAGTTGAGGGTAGCGTCTCGATATATTGCTGGATCTCCTCGAGTTTACTATGAGTTGGAACATAATAGATTCCTGATGAGGACAATGTGAAACCCTCTGTCAAAATGTCATCAGTGTAATATCGCTACAAGATATTAAGCAGTAAGACTCTGTCCCAGTCATCAGTGACTCTTCCTCCATAGTTAATTTGGCCTGTCATAAACTTCATTGCATCCCAAGGTATTTCCTCTGAATCGATCAAAAAGTTCTTTAACATAGTGACAGATGTGACTAGATCGGAGTCATTAAATTCGTAACGGATGTTCCAGCCAAGAGGACCAAACTTTCTTCTCTCTTGCACATTAGAATGGAAAAAGCAGAGTCCAAATAGCAATCTCTTCCAAGGAGTCTAGTTGTCTATTCCTTTTTAAGAATTAGTAGAAATGCAAGACTCATATAACTCCTCTGTTATCAAGTTATTGTAAGATCTCTTCAAGTTGGCTTTAATTCCTCTTGGCGGTTCAGTAGTCATCTTTAAGCCATTTTAGAGAATAGCTGCTGGGAAGTAATCTGCTGGCATTGATGTCATGATAAGCCTAAAATCTTCGTGGATTTGCTTTTCCTCATCTCTGAACTTCTCGCAGATAACTTCAAGACTTGGCATCCAAGATTTAAACAAATGGCAATTTTAAAGGAGGACCCAGTAACCTTCTCTTTTACCTCTATCAATCATATCTTAAGCTTGTAATTCTTGCCCTTGACCAAGGGATTTATATAAAAATCTCTCATAGTAATTACTTTTGTGAGCGAATTGGATGACCTCCCAAGTAGGATCAGCACCTTAACTTAGTACAAAAATTATAGGTGTTTTCTTATCAGAATCAGCAAACAAAGCATCCATTGTTGCAATTGGACTCTCAGAATATAACTTGCCAAGCTCGATTTCAACATACTTTTAAAATGCAAACATAAGTTTTTCTGGCTTAAAGATTTTGAGTATCAGTAACTTATCGAAAGCCGAGAGTGAATTGCTGTAATTGCATGGCATATTTTCAAGATAAAACTCTTCCTCATTAAGCACGTAATTTTCCCAAGCCTCAACGTGATTTTTAACATTATCACAAAGTCCTTTGAAAGGATCAGGTACATTTTACTAAAGACAATATGCTATGTCCCAGCAAGTTTCAGTAATGAAGTGATTTGAACCATCTGGTCTTAATGGCTAATCAGATTTGTTAAACAAACCTGCACCTCTGAGTAAGTAATTCCAACTGATTTCATTGATCTATTTAGCTTACCTCTTAATTGATGTACATATTAAGAATGAATATATCAGTTTATGGGCTTCGAATAGACCTCTGCAAATATTAACATAGAGCATTTTTGTAATACTATTCTTCAAAGCTTCTATTCTATCCTCAAGTTTTTCGCATGACGGTGTTTGCACAATAGCATCATTGAAGAGTTTCTTGACATAAACTAATGAGTTTTGATACATTGGATCGATTGCTGCAAGATCACTTATGACGAAATAGAGGATACTACCTCTTACGGATACATCAATATATGAGTTACGGGTTTCATTAATTTGAACTTCTACTAATTCTGCTTCAATCAGACTTTCTGCTATGATCTTACTCTTAGTTTTTGAAATCTCTAAAGTATCTATTAGATCTTAGTTATCGAGGATAGTATCTTGGTTGCTTTCAGCTAAATCCTTCAAAATTTTATTTTCAAGTCTCTTAATCTCATTCTTACTATTGGCTATTTCCATGACCAACTTATCTCTCTTTTCTTCAACTTCTGGTGCTTCATTAATAACAACATCAGCTCTAAGCTGCTCTTCAAGACCAGCAAATGTGACAGTGAAGTTTATAACAGTAAGCTTGATACAGATTTCTGGTAGATAATGAGGGTTAGGCAGTTTGGTAGTAATAAATAATCTGAATCTTCTATCATAAATTAATGGCTTATCTCCAAAGTTTATTTTTTCAAGTCCCTCATCCTTGTAAATAGACTTGGTGAGTACAGAATCAAGACCTGGATCAAGCTCTTCACCAACATCCTCAATCAAGACGGTATAGCCATGGACTATAGCTTATTCCATTTCCTTTTAGTAGGAGTTACCATCACTAAGCTTAATGACTTTAAGTCCAGTTTCTCTGTGCATTTTCTTTATCCAAGTATTTGCCTGAGTTTAAGGATCTATCATAAGAGGCCATCTTTGAGCTATTTTTACAATGTTATTTTGATATATGAAACTTACTCTTAGTTGAAAGAATACCATTATCAATTGAGACGGAATCTGATGGCAAGCTGCAAATATTCCAGTTTCTGATCTCAACAGGACTACCAAGAGTATAGACTAGAGAGTATTTATCTGAAGATGGAATCTTAAATTCTGAACAAAGGTGCGTCCATTGTTCTATCAGGAAATCTCTGTATAAGCCCTAAATTCAAAGTTATAATCTAATGATAATTTACAGTAAATGGCCCCATATAACTGATTGAAGATGCTGCAATGAATACATTACCAATAAGTTGTTCACTTTCTTTCTAAAGTTCATCAACAGTAACCAACCATCTTTCACCTTCGTCTCCAAGAAGTCCAATTAATTTGCCTGCATTAATCAACCTCCTTTCACAAGTGACCTTATCATTGTTTAGCTATTCTATATATGCTTGAATCTTGGCAAAAGTTTCTTCCAGATTTAAGATGTCAGCTTGAATTCTCGCTAATTCATTTTTCTTTACAGCAACATCAGCTTCTGCGATTCTAAGTTTTTCCATTAGTTCCCTCTATCTCATTTCTCTTGGATAAACAGTTTTCCATGCTTCAGCATATTCATATGTAGCTTTAGCCCATTTTGCTAGAGCTCCTGCGACTTAACTTTTCTTTCCCATTTCAATAGGGTTAAACGGATCCTTGTCATTGTAAAGTAGTGCCTTAATTTTAGTCAATATTTGTGGTGATATTTTTTGCTTCTCAAAAGTCTTGAGCTTATCCAAGAATTTAATATCAGATAAAATAGTCTTAGCCCAATTCCATTCATAATCTGCCTTAACATTGTGCCCAAGGAAGGTGAATACTGCTCTTAGAACTTATACGACAACTGCTGGAGGGTTGGAGAATGATTTTACCTCAGTGATACTGTCCTTTGTTAGTTCATTAACTGCTCGCTCAGCATCTTCTAATGCCGGCCTACACCTTGCTAACTCCTCCTCATTATCTCTTCTTAAGGCATCTATCTGTTATGCCTCAAGTTGCACAATAGCGGATTCTTCTTCTACAACAATTTCCTTTTCACCCGCAATCACCTTACTCTCTTTAATTTACTTTGCTTTCTCTTGAGCATTAATATTTTCTTCTTCAAGTTTAGGGATCAACACAGCAAGACTGACTTAAAGTCCAGCAATTTATTCATTGGTCGTCTTAAGCTTCTGGACTCCGTTAGATAATCTGTAGATGTTTTCTCTAAATTCCTTCTTCTTTTCTGTTAGTTATTATAGATATAGGTTAATGCCATCTAAATAACTCTTGGGTGTGATGTAAACTTTTCTCCTCAATTCATCATAGAAACGATCTGACATCTTTTCAACACTTTTATGCACTCTCATAAACATCTCGGATAACTTTGTTCTCAGAGTTTCTTCTGTACCGTCAATAGTTGATAGGAATTTCCTGGACACATTTAGCAAAGCATCTTCAGGCCAATTATCAAACCAGTCGAGAGTACAGCAATTAACAAGAGATGGGAATTTACGGCATCTGATTCTCAATTAATCACCTACAGGCGACATGCACAGTATAATGTGGAAATTATCTCTAACTCTTTCTATGAAGGTCTGATAAATATAGTCCTTAGTTGTTGGTCTCTTCATTTGAATTAGCACCTTTTCAAGAGATGATGCCATTCTCTCAAAGTCTTCCTTTTAATACAAATTTGTAATTTCTCCAGTATTAAGAATGTTATTAATATCTTCAAGGAAGGTTTCATACATGATTTGGTTATCGGTCATTAAGAACGTATTAGGAATAGCATCACAGCCAGAATTTAGCATTTAGACTTTCAAGTCCTCTCTAAAATGTATTGGCTTGTAATTCTTTGACAGTTTAATCTAAAAGCATTTATACTCTAACATGAAAGAGCAAAGACGAGTTAGACTTTATTTACCACAACCTGATACTCCAATAAGCATAGCATTACCTCTTGGCTGTCTTAGTATTCTAGATATTCTGCAAATATGATTAATAGCATCCTCAAAAAATACTAGGTCCATTTTTGTTGGGATAGAAATGTTGTAGTCCATCAATTTATCTTCTAACATTTTGAATAGCTTATTTTTATCTGTAATTTCTTCATAAAGCTTATCTTCTGAGTCAAGTCTCAAGACCATTGAGAATATAATTTGGTTTTTGCCCTCAAAAATATCTTCTGGCTTCCAATTCACTTTAAATTTACTCTTTATCAAATCGCCGATCAATTCTCTAAAGAATTATCTATCTTCTTCATTAATAAGTCTATCATTAAATACTCTGCTGCACTCATGGATCCATAATCTGGTAAAGACATCAGGGTTTGCCACAGAAGTAGTCTTTGTCATAAGCATTCCTTGGAACACTTTAGCAACATCTCTCAAATTGAATGTGTAATGGAACTTAGCAGGAATAGGCAACAGACCTTTGGTAATTTAAGTATACATATCGATGGTTGCTGACACAGCAATACTACCGCACTTTCTCACACTGTCAGAGAAATGATTAGCCACTAAGAACTCTCGAATGATATTTTCAAAAATAACTCTCATAGAATCTTCCGATGGGTCAGGAACATTAAGAATGTGGAAATATCTCATAAATCTAGGAGTCAGAGGTGATCTACCACCTCCTGGTGGAGCAGCTGCACAAAGTATAATAAACTTCTCAATAGTCTTCCAATAGAAGCTGGGTCTATCATAAAATCCTCTAAGTTCAATTAGCTATCTTAGTAATTCAATGGGTGGTTAAGCTCCATATTTTTCTACTGTAGGCATATTGACATCATCTACGAAGATCACGCAAGTTGAGGTGCCTATTGAACCCATTACCTCCTTACCTCTTTTCTTTTCTAATTTTGATTCTATTGTCTTTTAAGTAGAATTAGAGCTTGTTTAAGCAGAAAAGTTCAACATAATAGGGGCAAGACCCTGCTTCTCTTAATTAAGAGAAATGTACTTAGAAAGAATAATTGATTTTCCAACACCCGTGTTGCCAGTAAAGAAAACAGGTTTATTAATTGATACAAGCATTTCAAGTAATGCTGTGTATCTTACAGTATCAACAGTTGGAACGAGTAAAGAGAAGAATGGAAGTTTGGCATCATACTAGAATGCAGGTACTATCTTGTTCCAATGATAGTATCTCATATCTTTCTCGTGGAAGAAATATTCAAATACAGTCTCAGCTTAAGGAATTTGAAGTCTGCCAAAGAACTCTCTCAGCATATTATCAAGGAACCTTGAAACAGATGCCTTGTAGCTTGCACCAAAGGCCCAAATATAGGCAAAACCAAAACTAAATAGGATTTTCTTAGTCCAAACATCTTTCTTATCATGCATTGGCACACTCTGCTTATTCTTAATGAAATATTCTAGGAAGTTACAAAGAGAGGTTACTGTTTGTACAGGAACAGTTGGCATGGGTTCTTCATCTTTTATCGCTTTGATTTTATTTAAGCCATCCTCTACGTATTGTAGGAATAGCTCCTAAAGGAATTATATACCTTCTTCATCTAGCAAATCATGATGTCTAATATATGTGTTCATCCAAGACTCCATATATGGCTTCCAACCTAAATCACTTGGGGTCATGTAAACCATACCACACCTAGATACTGTTGCAGGACTAGCAACAGCCAAATCCTATACCTCAAAAAGCATTCTCATTGATGCTCTTAGCTTGATTCTTTCACCATTAGCCAAACAGAGAGTCATGTTGTCATCAAGCACAGTATTCATATTTTCGATCCAGAGTGCATCAACTGGGCCATCGAAGACACACCAATTTCTTCTTTTTGATTCATCCTTAGCAAACTCTCTAATAATCTTAGACGCAAGTCCATCTGTCCATTCTTTAGTATCAGAGTTCTCCTCACCATATAATTCTCCCATTGAGATTGACTTAGGGTTCAAGATTTTGAAAACAGTCTCCTAGAATCTCTCATCATTTGACTTTAAGACATTTCTTAATTAGGTCATTGCATTTGCCAATACTTTGTAGCAAGTAGTCTTGCCTGCACCAGTTGGTCCTACTATCATTACTCCAAATCTGACATTGAATGTATCGAAGAGTTGGATAATCTTTGTGATGAATTAAGGCACTTTCTGAAACTTCATTCTTTCTAGAGATTTTTCAATTTAAACTTGCAATTCTCCAAAATTAGCCTCTGGGATTTCAATTCCTGGGAATAAGTCTTGAATAAGAGCTGAAAATAATGGAAGATCATCAGCCAAGAACTTTGGAATATTTGAATCTCTCATAGCCCTAATTAGTACTACATCTTCTGAGAGAGTAGGGTTATCTCTTTTTAGTGAACCAGCCATGACTAGCACTGATTTCACTGCTCTCATTCCGAAGTCATAATGGTCTTGTTAAGATAGCTACTCAGAGGCTAGTTTATATAGCTAGACCATCTTAACTGATAAGTTTTTAGCATTTTCGAAACCTTCTGCGAACAACATAATTTCTGCAATGAGCCCATAGTTGGGTATCATCATACTTACTGGCCTGAAAAGCACTTTAAGATTATCTGGCAATTCAGTTCTTCCTGCATACCCTGGATTCATTGTAACGAAGACACCACAGCTTTATTGCAAATCCATTAAAGTTCCATTAAACACAAATTGAGTTTTATTTTGGACCTTTGCCTCTTTGATATCTAAGAGTTATTAGGCAATAACAGATAATACTTCTACATCAATTCTATTGAACTCATCCAAGCAACTCCATGCTCCACTTTAAGCCAAACCAGAAAATAACCTTGCCATCATTTTATACTCTATTTATTCTGAGCAGTTAAACACTACGCAATAGATTCCGAGAGCTTTAGCTAGATCCTTAGTAGATTCTGTTTTACCTGTGCCTGCAGGACCTGCTGGAGCAGCTCCAAGCTTAATATGCATAGCTCCAGTAATAGTAATCCAGCATCTATCAGTAAGAGGGGTGATAACCAATCTGCTTGTTGCTCCCATATACTCACATCCGTAAAAGGTAGTAGCATTAACTTGTCTGATAACTACATTATCTCCTTCTTCAAGGTAATATCTTAGCTATTGTTACCAGTTGAAGTCATTAATACTCTCCACATTCTCATTTACCATGGTTTCAACAATATCTCTTGCATGAACATCTGTTGTGATGAGTGCAACTAGAATCTTTCTCTTAATTGAACTGAGACTTCCTCGAATCAACTCTGTTAGCTAACTCAATTGCTATCTGTTGGCAAATAAGTTATCTTGCATTGCAAGTGGGTTATCCTCCAAATCATTGATGGCCAATTCACAAGACTCAGTCCAAGTTATTTATGCAACAGTTGCTATAGCCTAGCCGATATGGCCAAGCACCCACTCTTTTCTGTCAACTGAATAATAGTTGGCATGAGCGTCCTTGATCTTCTTCATAACTATCTGTTTCATATTTGTCTCAATGTTTTTCATCCATTACTCTACTCCGCTGTTTCTGACTTTGATTCTCTAGAATTCAACCTCTTCTCCTTCTCCAGATTTAATCCCCTAGATATCATGTGATCCACCATTATCAATTAGTATGAGGTTTGAGATATTATCGAAACACTTGTTAATATGCTTAACAACAGCTTAAATATCTTAGGCGTTAGCTAGAATTTAGAGTAATTCATCATTTGAGAGGAAATAGAATCTTGGGAAAACTACTCTCTTTGACTCAAGATAGGCTTCTAGGTTCTTTTAAATTTTTTCAAGCTGCTCATTAGCCTTTGTGAATTCTAGGCATTTATTGCCAACTGTGCATTAGTGCATAACTGACGGCTTAGTAGCCACAGTTTTCATCGTCTTGATCCAACCTCTATTTATGTTTTCGAAATCTGCACTATCTTTTTAGTTGTTTCTTTTGATATCGGGAGATGAAAAAATGTTCTCGAGATAAATCCAATTTCTTTGGAATTCCTTCCATGCTTCAAGAGTCTCAAATATTAGATTTAATTTGCCTTACATTTACTCAGCCTCTGCTTGAAGCCTCTTAACATATCTTGATCCAATAATATTGCTAATATTAGTCAGAGACTCATCTAACTTCTATTAGATGTCCTCTAACTCAATAAGTTTCAAAGCATCTTTATCCTTATGCTTGGCAGTTTTGAAATCAGTCTTGCTCCAAATATCTTTAATTTCCTCAAGTTGGTTTCTTAAATTAGTTTCTTGTGTTGCTGTGATACTGATGTTCATGATGTCTTCTTGGTATTATGCAACATTGAAAGAAATGAGCTGACCAAGATTGAACTATCTATCCTCCAGTGGGAAATCTGGAATATTAAGTAAATTTTTAATTTCTTGCCAGTGAATATTTTAGAGATTTTTATTTCCCAAAGCTTCCACAATAGGCATAGTCTCTCTGAAATCATAGACTAGTTTCTTTAGTTTAGCAACTGCTGTTGATCCCTCTGGAAGATTTCTCTCACATTAATTTACAGTCTTAGTATATCCATCTGCCTTTGCAGTAATCTCACTAACTTCAATATTTTCAAAAGGTGAAGATTTCCAACTCTCAATAAGTTCCTGCCATTCTCTAAGGGCACGCCACATTCTCGCTCTGTACCCCATCTTTCCTTTTATGTCATCTACATAGTCGAATGCGCTCACATCCATATCCAGAGTCTTCTAGAACTCCTATACTTTCTTGGATTTGTCGACTAGTAAGTTGCAGGTCTTCTCTAATTAATCAATGTCTGAAAGTGTGTCATAAATGTTAGATTTAATGTCGATAAATTTATTCTAAGTAATTGCATCATGGAAATCCTCGCACTTCTTCTTAAGCTTTGGAATTTTATTTGCTATTTTAGTTTTCATCTGCTCTTTCTTATTGTCTGCAGTGTCATTTGCTTAAACTATAGCCTGATTTAGATTATTCATGATTGTGTAAACTTCGTCCACAAATTTCTTATTTTTCTCCTCCTTGTTTTCAATTTCAAAAGTGCAGCAGATATTGTAAATTTAAATGTTCAGGTCAATCTATGTAAAATTTATGAATGATTTAATACTATACCTTATCTTTGACCCCCTGGTAGTTCTTTTCAATGAATTCTAAGCTTTATATTTATCTCACATAGGTTTCAACATTTGTTGGTGAAAATGAAATTGAATCGATTTGCTTCAATAGCCATTGCTTGTAATTATCAACTCTTCTCTTTACCATTATAGGCTATAAATATGATTAGATGATGAGATATATTTACAAGCATTCTTCTAAGTTTTGCGAAACAATCTTTTGGTGATGGGGTTAAATGATTCTTGATGTCAATCAGATTAATTCTAATCATGCCAAGTTCTCTGTTTTAAGGTATCAGATTTTCGAAGTTGGTCTTTTGATCATTGAATCTTTACAAAAGAAGTGGAATCACATCAGTTGGATTTTTCAGTTTCTCATCCTCTAGTATTTCAAAGCCGCCTAGCTGTTTGTTTTCCCAAACGGCTTGCAAGAATGGTTCTAGTTGAGAGAAGAATTGGTTTACATTCTCAAAAGCATCTGAGAGATACTTATTTATGTACTCGGATTAGTTCATGAACCATTCATTTTCTTGCAGCCAGTCATCGCAGTTCAGATTGTTATCATCAGGAGGGTCCCACTCGTCACAAACTTTGTCATCCCAGGACTCTAAGACTTTCACATAAGGAAGAAGGTCTTCGTGTCTGCTCCATCTTTCAAAGTGCTTCAAACATTCTAGACCTTCTTAGAAACACTCATTTAATAGACTTGAGAAGTCACTTCTCTGAGGATTAATAGTGAGCCACAATCTATGCAGGTTTACCACCTTTTTCCTCTCGATCTTACTGGATGCGTCATCATCATCTAAAAGGTTCATTTCTTCTTCTTCAGCATTCTCATCTAGATCTTCTTATAATTCTAGGTGAACAGTTGGGTCGAAATCTTCTTCTTTGGATCTTCCAATGGGAGGTGGGTCGAATTTATCTATCATAATAATTGTGATGTTCTCATCACCAATTTCATTTTCTTCATAAATTCCATTCACTGAAAATAACGCAAGCTATGAATTACCCCCTGCCTTTTTTGGGACTGGTTAATCACCGAAGGCAGACCTTGCAGGCCTCAACTCATAATCAGGCTACATTTCTGCTAGTAATTTCAGCTTTCTGCAAGTGTCTTTGACAGATTCTATGTATATGTTTGAAAGAGCCTCAAGAGCAACAAAATCAAGTAAGTATGAGAATCTCAAAAATCTAGAACAAGCTCTTCTGAGTTTACTTCTTGGCCCGTACTTAAGATTATGCTTAAATCCAAGTTGTTCAAACACAGGATCAGAATTTAGACTCTTTTTCTCCTTGGCTCCATCTCCACCAGCTCTCCCTCCTATATAGTCCTTCTTTTGTGTTTCTTCATCTTCATTTTGATCGTTAATCTTTTATCTTAAATCCTCTAGTACCTAGTTAATGCCTTATCTAAATTTGTTTCTGCAAGTCTCAGAAGCTTCCTCTATCTTAGTTACAATGTGTTCTCTTTATTTTGTTTAATTCGAAGCAAAATCTGCAAGTTGCAAAACTTCTTAGCCAGGTTAATTGAGGTCAATAATTCTATGCTGCTCCATATCTTTGCATATTTCTCTGTGGAATATCAGAATTGGTCCAAATATGTCATCTAGCATAAACAATTTCTCAGAGAGATTGTTCTTGACTTCTTCCCTCTTCTTTTACAGTATGTTTCTTCTCCACATTCTAATAATTTTCCACCTTCTAAACTGCTTGAAGAATCTTTTATCACTGATCTGCTGGTAGAAGTTTCTTTCGATTAGCCAATCAGTCAGAGAAATGTACTCAACTGGCTCGTCATTAATGTAAGTTGTAATGCCCTTCTTAGATAATGTAAAGAATTTCTCTTATTTCTAGGCATTACTATTCTTCTTTGAGATGGCTCCTGAAATAGCCCCTTTGCCTGAGGAGTCTGCTTCGATTAATGGTTATAAATCATAGGGATCATTGATCTCGCTTGGCTTAAGATATATGAAATATCCGTCATCATCAGGTTAATTTTGCAACAGTGTTATAAGTTTGTCCAAGTCATTCCACTTGTTTGCTGCCATTTGCTACTTTATCGCGTTTGCTTTGGCATTTGATTGAGGTCCTGAATCTGACTTGGTTTAATCAAGTTACTATTTATTCTATTAGTTTCTAGTTTCATGAAGTTCCTCTCCTTGCTCATCTTCTGGCTATTCTTCAATTTTATCTTGAGTCATTCTACCTTAGTTTAAAAATCCCCTACTTGCTGTAGAAGTCATATTATTCAAATTTTTGAAAGACCTTCCCTATCCTTAAGTCATTGGCCTATGTCTCGGATCTATCGGAGATTAAAGATGCCTTTAATTTTCTAGAGTACTTTGAGGTCTTTATTTCTCTAGTTATGCTTGCATTAAGGCTGGAAAAGCCTCCATACTATCTTTATGAGGACCGATGTATTCTTTCTATCTAATTTTTTACATCAGATAATGTGACCTCAAAATTTCATCTGTGTATTCCTACATACCAGCAACAACTTTCTCGTTTGCTTTTCTTGAAGGAGATGCGTTTAAAGTCTTAACTTTTATTTCCTCATCTTGCTCTCGAATCTGATCAACAACCTACCTTCTTTTCTCTTCAGCTTCACTTCTGCCTCCAATAATCTTTCGCTTTAATGCTTTATTAGATTATGCTCTTTTTTTCATTATATCCTGTGTGCTGGTCTTTGGTCTTACCATACCTGAAGGACCAAGAGGAGTCATAGTCTTAATACCAGTGATAGAAGTAACTTCTTCTGATGTTCTTACTGCTTTTTTAGTTGGATCTTATAGAAAAACTTAACCCCCTATTTTAATTATGAATATGCTAGAACTAATAGATTCAAATTTTAATGGAATGAATGTCTGATAACTTACTAAATCCAAATGCTTGTGTTTACGGTCTTGAGTAAGGAGCCATATTAAGAGTTGTGAATTGTGGATTAGAAATAGATTTAGCTATTGCACTCAGGCCCCTGCCATTGCCTGTACCATCAGTACTGGTTCCAGGTCTGAAATTCTAATGATCAATTGTTTATAGTTGAGCAACTGTCATTTAATCATCTTATCCTTAGAAATCTTCATCTGCCTAAGATTTCAAAAATCTATCTTAAGTTTTCATGAAAGCCTCTGATGACATCGACTTCACATGCTTAGTTAATGTTCCTAATTGCTAAATAGATGGCTTTGTGTTTAAAGTTTGATTATCTTCAAACTATAGGCTTCCTTGATATATACTACCCATTAGATTTGTTGGTTTCAAAGTTTATGAGGACTATGTTCCATGCATTGGGGGTCTCCCAATAGCAGTTAGTTTAGCCGCATAAGGTTTAACGTTTTCTGGAATAGGCCTCTTAACGGATGGCATGGTCTGAACTGATATGCCTTTATCATACAGACGACTCTTAAGCTCTGCCTTTGATACACTTTTCCTTATCTAAATGATAAAATCATCAAAAAAGTTCAAAATACTCGGATTGCGTTTGCTTAATCCATTTGAATATAAAATATAAATGTGAATAGCTTTCTGATTTATTTAATTTAAATTCTCAACCAATATATTTAAAATTTATCATTGCGGGGTTTTGGGGTTTTGGGGTTTTGGGGTTTTGGGG